CGGAGTTTCCTAGAACGCTGGAGGCAGGCCTCCCTCGAGGTCGAAGGTGCTGATGACAGAACCTTGATGGCCCTCTTCCACACCGTCCTCCGCAACGGTAACTTCTCCCGGAGCCTTATCACTGATCCCCCCCGCGATTATACGAAGGCCCTTCAGCGGGGGGACCGGTATGCCGAGGCAGAGGAAATCGAGAAGGACCGCCGCAACACGGATCCTTCTCAGAAGAATGAAGGCAGGAATCGGCCCGGAGGACCTCCCCCTCCGGTCAATCGAGAGGCACAATACAACGATCGCCCCCGAGGTGGCCAAGCCAGAACCGGGGGCGGTTACAAGAACAATCCGAAGGCATGGGCGCAACCCGTCCTCCTTGAGCACCCACGCACTCCCTTGACGCATCCCGTCAGCGTCATCCTCGATCATGCTGAAGAGCGGGGGCTCGTGGAGCGGGACTCCCGGACACCCCTCGAGATTTATGCCATCGGCCCTGATGAGCCCTATTGCCGCTTTCACCGCCACCATGGACACAAGACCGACGACTGCCATCAGCTAAAAAGCGCCATTGAAAGGCTGATACAGGCGGGCCACTTGTCCCAATTTATCAGGGGCCCTCCCCCCCAGGGCCCCCCTCACCATCAAGGACCACCGCCGAAGGCGAACAAATGGGTGAACCCCAACACCATCCCCTTGGGAAACCCACAGGGGAAGAAGCGAGAAATTGGGGGCCTCGATGACGAGGGAGAGGGCTCCCATCAACAATACAAGCGCCATATTCATATGATCAACGGCGGCAACACCGGTGGAGACTCCGCCAGCCAGCGGAAGAAGTGGGCTCAGTCCCTTTACGTGGGGGAAGTCAATCACATGCCTCCGACTAAGAGACCGAGGGCGGATCCCATCTTCTTCACAGATGCGGACCTCCCCTCGGGCTCTCTGCCGCATAGGGATGCCCTCGTCATCCGCACTGAGATCAACGACGCCATCATCCACCGGACTTACGTCGACACGGGGAGTTCTGTCAACGTCATGTATCTCAGCACTTTCCAAGAGTTGGGACTCGACAGGGGGTCCCTCCGACACATCAACACCCCCCTCTCCGGATTCACGGGGGACAGCATAGACGCTGAGGGCGTCATCACACTCATGGTCGAATTCGGCGACGGGTCCCATAGAGCCAAGCTCGAAGTGGAGTTCGTCGTCGTCAACCTCGACTGCGCGCACAACATCATCCTCGGCCGGCCCGCCCTCGAGGACTTAGAAGCCATCATCTCCATGAGGCACCTCTGCCTCAAGTTCCCCACACCCACCGGCATCGGCTATTCGAGGGGGAACCAGAAACTCTCCAGGGCCTGCTACCTTCAGCTCACCAAGAAGGTTAGTAAAACAGAGTTACGTATAGACACCATCACCACCAAGGCCTTGGAGGAGGAAGAAAGTAGGCCGAGGGCTGAGCCTGCCGAGGACACTGAAGACCTGATACTCGATCCGGCCAAGCCGGAGAGAGTCCTGAAGATCGGAGCCAAGCTCCCCGAAGACCTGAAGGCTGGCATCACCAAAGCTCTCCGCGCCTACTCCATTGTTTTTGCATGGGGGCCGGAGGACATGCCAGGAATCGACCGAAGGGTTATCACCCACCGCCTAGCGGTGGACCCTTCGGCCAGACCGGTGCAACAGCGAAGAAGACCCCTCTCGGCCGAGAGAAGGGAGTTCGTGAAAAAGGAGGTATCCATGCTCCTCTCCATCAAACACATTAAGGAGGTGAAATACCCTTCTTGGTTGGCAAACGTAGTCCTCGCACAGAAGCCTCCTACCTTCCGCATGTGCGTGGACTACACGGATCTGAATAAGGCGTGCCCCATGGACCCCTTCCCACTGCCAAACATTGATCAGCTGGTTGATGAGACCGCGGGATGTGAAATCATGTCATTCCTCGACGCTTTCCGCGGATATCATCAAATATGTATGCATGAGGAGGACGCTGAAAAGACTGCCTTCATGACACCCGAAGGCATCTTCTGCTACCTTGTGATGGCCTTCGGCCTCAAAAATTCAGGCGCCACCTACACACGCATGGTGGCTAGGGTCTTTCAAGCTGTCCTAGGACGCACCATGGAGGCTTACGTTGACGATATGATCGTCAAAAGTAAGAAGGCAAGCACTCACGCCGACGACCTCCGGGAGATTTTTGCCATCATGCAAAAATTCAACCTCCGGCTAAATCCAAAGAAATGCACCTTCGGCGTGCAGGGAGGAAAGTTCTTGGGCTACATGGTCAGCCGAAGGGGTATTGAGGCCAACCCCGAGAAAATTCAGGCCATCATCAACATGGAGCCTCCACGCAACGTCAAAGAAGTTCAACGGCTGACGGGTCGCCTGGCAGCCCTCAACCGTTTCCTCTCAAAGTCGGCCGAGAGGGCCCTCCCCTTTTTCCAAATCATGAGGAAGACGGCGGGTTTTCAATGGACATCTGAATGTCAAGAGGCCTTCGACGAACTCAAGAAGTACCTCTCCTCTCCCCCGGTGCTCTCCAAACCAAAGGCGGGGGAGACTTTACACTTATACCTCGGTGTTAGCCCTTCGGCCATCAGCTCAGTGCTAATCCGAGAGGAGGACGGCGTCCAACACGCCATCTTCTACGTCAGCAAGACCCTTCGGGAAGCCGAACTCAGGTATTCTCCCATCGAGAAGACGGTGCTAGCCATCGTTTGGACCGTCAAGAAGCTTGGCCACTACTTTCAAGCTCACCCGGTCCAAGTGCTCACTCATCAACCCCTCGGCGCCCTCATGAGGAGCCCCACAAGTTCCTCTCGGATGGTAAAATGGGCCATCTTCCTCAGCCAATACAACATAGACATCCGTCCGAGGCCTGCCATTAAGGGCCAAGCCCTGGCGGACTTCGTAACGGAATGCACCGCAAGATCAGCAACTGACGAGGAGCCCTCGGCACCCCTCGATGAGTGGTGGACCCTCTACACCGATGGCTCCTCGGCCGCCAAAGCATGCGGAGGGGGAGTAGTTCTGATCACACCCGAAGGCTTCCGCGCCTATTACGCCATCCGCTTCTCCTTCAAAGTCTCCAACAACGAGGCCGAGTACGAAGCCCTCCTCTGTGGCCTTCGGCTGGCAGCAAATCTGAAGGCCAAGATGGTCCACGTTAAGTGTGACTCGAAACTTGTCGTGGGTCAAATCTCCGGGGAATACGAAGCCAAGGAAGGGAGGATGAAACAATACAAAGAAGCGGCTAAGGAGTTGCTCAAGGTATTTGAGGCACATTCCCTCACCCAAATACCGAGGGCTCAAAACTCCGAGGCCGATATTCTATCAAAGCTCTCGGATGAATCCCCCGAGCACCTCTCCAAAATTGCAAGAATTGAGGAACTCAGCCTCTCAAGCATCCACGCGAGCCCCGTCATGAACATTAACCTGAGGCCGGAGGATTGGATCTCCGACATCATCGCCTTCATTACCACAGGGCAACTGCCCCAGGACGAAGCCCGCGCCAAGTTAACGAAGCTGAGGGCTCCCAGCTACACCCTCGAGAATGGGAGGCTTTACAAAAGATCTTACAACGGCACCCTCCTTCGGTGCCTTCATCAAGATGAAGCCGAAGTCGCTATGGAGGAAGTGCACAGTGGCACTTGCTCGGCCCACCAGGGACCCTTCTCCATGTCCCGAAGGCTCATAGTTCAAGGCTACTTCTGGCCCACGATGGCTAGAGATTGTGCTGATCTAGCCCGAAGGTGCACCGCTTGCCAACACTTTCAGAAGGCCCCCGGCAGGCCCGCAGTCAACTATGCTCCCATCAGCACCGCTGTACCCTTCTCCAGATGGGGTATTGACCTAGTCGGCCCTCTGCCGAGGGGTACCTCCAACAATAGGTATATCATTGTGGCCATTGACTACTTCACCAAATGGGTAGAGGCCGAACCCCTCGCTAGCATCACGGAGGCCCGGTGCCGTCACTTCGTCCTCAAGAACATTCTCACAAGATTTGGCGTCCCCCAACAAATCATCTCCGACAACGGGACTCAATTCGAAGCGGCCCCCTTCTGTGCCCTCCTTGAGGCTTGGGGCATCAAGCACACATTCTCTTCCGTTGCCTACCCTCAGGGCAACGGACAAGTAGAAAATGCCAACCGCACCCTCCTCGAAGGGTTGAAGAAGAAGCTGGAAGCCGAAGGGGGAGGCTGGGTAGAAGAGCTCCACAACATCTTATGGGCCTACCGCACCACCCCTCGGCGTGCAACAGGTGAAACCCCCTTCTCCCTATGCTATGGCTTTGAGGCTAAGGCTCCCACAGAAGTAACTCTTCCCACCCGAAGGGTTGAGCAATATGAGCCCGAGGCAAACGAAGCCAACATGGCCCTCGACCTTCATCTCATCTCAGAACGCCGAGAGCAAGCTTTTCTCAGGGCCGAAAACTATAGGAGACAAGTCAAAGGATACATCGACGCCAAGGTCCGCTCCCGGGAATTCCAGGTGGGAGACTACGTTCTCCGACGAAGGGAGGCCAGTCTACCCACCGAAGGAGGAAAGATGGCACCCAAGTTTGAAGGCCCCTACATCATCTCAGCCATCATCAAACCGGGGACATACAAGTTAAAACGTCCTAATGGGACAGAGATTCCTAGACATTGGAATGTGCACCACCTAGTGAAGTTTTACCAATGAGTGGCCAAGCCCTCACCCTCAACAAGTGTAAACATCAATGGCCCAAGGCCCCATCTGTTTTTGAAGAATAATCAAAAGGCCAAGCCTTCACCACCTACATATTATACAAGAGGCCCAAGGCCCCCTCATCTCTTCACCATAAAAGGCCCAAGGCCACTCCCTCTTATGAGGGGGAACAACAATTTAGGTACCACGTACCAAGTGTATGGGCCACCCCCATCACTCTTTGAAAACACCAAGTGTTTTCAAAGACTTTTACATATTCTCCCAAGAAAAAAAAAAAAAAAAAAAAAAAAAAAAAAAAAACCCGGGGGGTGCAACACCCCTCGGCTCCGGCTGGTACCAAGTGCCCCCGGCTATTTGTGTTCCACACACAAATAAAACCCTTCCCAGGAACGCTTTCCGCGCCATCCCCCAAGGGGAGGCAGGCAACGGACCATGTCCCGGGCCCAGGATTCGACTTCCACAAACGAAACGCTCCCCGCGCTATCCCCCAAGGGGAAGCAGGCAACAGACCATGTCTCGGGCTGAGGGGACGACTTTCAAAACCGAGGCGCTTTCCGTGCTATCCCCCAAGGGGAAGCAGGCAACAGACGATGTCTCGGGCCGAGGAAACGACCCTCAAACCCTTCGGGATATCGGAAGGTCATTCCCGAAGGGGGAGCCAACGGTTTATTCCGTTGCCTCCCATATAGGCCAAGCCTTTCCTAGAAACCAAGTTTCTAGACGCCTCTCCTACACCATCTAAAAAAAAAAAAAAAAAAAAAAAAAAAAAAAAGATGTGTAGGGGGGAAGGAACTCCCCGGATACTATTCTTCCCGGAGGATCAACACTTCGGATATACATTCCCGAAGGCTCCTACAGATCCACAAGAAAATCTGGCAAACAACAAGTCATCCGACCACGAGGCCGAAGGCTTCACTGCGTAAAACTTTGGAGTACAAGAACTCCACCGAAGGCATAAGAAGAGGGCTTACTATCAAAGCTTCACCTAAATTTGGCTCGAATCAAAGAGGACACGTTACATACCGAAGGATACACAAAATTCTAAGGCAAGCCGAATCTATTATCTACACAAATCGGAGGCCTCAGGCCGAAGGCAGGATGTCACCAGGCTCATTCAAGGATGGGAAACACATCTCAGAATTTCACTAAGTCCATAATCTCGAACCTCCCCTCGGCAACCATATGTACCGGGGGCTCAGAGCAGTTCCCATACCGGAAGGTTCACTACAACTACTATTTGAATATTGTGGAAATTTGACTAAGTCCACAATTGGAGACCCTTCAGGAGAGAACGGGGATGCCCTCTCCACTTACAGGGTCGCGGCCGGTGGCCCCCCGAACTACTTGGCAGTAACCTAAAGCTACACTGCTAAATCCAATACCTCACCACCGAAGGCATACGCTGGGATCTTACTTAAGGAACTTTCCAAGCCCCCGGTGATTCTACTCTACATCCGAAGGGTTCTTATCAAGTTTTACTTGGAAAATTTTCCTAAGTCCACAAACTGATGGCCTTCGGAAAGCCAAACAAGAGAAGGAAGAGAATGCATCCATCCAAGTGAAGAAAGGCATTCATACATAAACAGGAATCAAACACAGGAGGCATTCATTCAGAAAAAGCCCGGAGGCAGAACATTAATCACCATAAGAATTTTAAGTACAAAGGTGTTCATTACAAGGCGTGGCCGAAGCCGGTAACTACGAGCTATTACATGGATAATATTTGTAAATTTCTAAGCTTGGACTCCTCCCGGTGCATCCTCCTTCGGCTTCGAAGCCGCATCATCCTCGGCCGCCTCGTCGTCAGAATCGCATCGGGCCAGCTCCGAGTCCTCGAGCAGCTCCCTCTCTTCACCCTCGGGCAGGGGAATCCGAACATCTGGTAGGAGCGGGGGGAGGCCGTGATCTTCTGGTTTGAACTCCTTCGGGTCTACGCCAAGGTGGCGGGCAAGCCTCCGGTACAACATGGCCTGCGTGAAGTACTGCCCGCCTTCGTAGAAGCTTTTGCCCTTTAGGGCGAGCCACATTGCACCGGGGCCCTTGACCCAACTATCTACCGAGGTTTCTACCACGGAAGCCCTCCATTGCTCCCGGCCCTCGGATTTCCACCCCTCCGCAAGGAAGAGGGCAACAACATCTTCTTTGGCCTTGGCAACAGCCTCAGCCTTAACTTCCTCAGCCCTCTCAGCGGCTATCCTGGCGGCCTCAGCGGCGGATCTCTCGGCTTCGGCTTTCCCCTCGGCCCGGGCTTCCTCCTTGGCTGCCTCCAGCTTCTGTTCGGCTTGCCGAAGGGCTTCCTCCAGACTGGCCAGCTGCTGAATGGCCTCAGTATTATTGGCCACCAGCTTCCTCGTGACCTCATCGGATTGGGCCTTCTCGAGGCGGTGCTGTTCAGCCCTCCTCACGAGCTCCCCGAAGGCCAAACTAGCCTGCAAGCACATAAGGGTGCACCTGGGATCAGACTACGCAAAGGAAAGGGAGCGCGATAAAAAGAAATTTCAAGGTCCGAAATACTTACAGTAGCCGAGGCCTGAAGGGCCTTGTGCTCGAGGGCTTCGTCCCCGAATCGGCCGAGGGTGGTCCGATCCAGGGGGGGAGTGGCGCCCCTCAAGAATTCCCTCGGGTCGAGGGTGCCATGTAAGATAGCAGTCCCCTTCTTAATGGGGAACTGCACCTTCTCAAGGGGCCAAGCCCCTTCATCCAAGTCCGCCAGGGGCAGGGAGCCCGAGGGCTTGTCGGAAGGATGGTCGTCGATGATCACTACTGGGGGAGCCTTCTGTTCGGCATCCCCCCTCCTCTGTTTCTTCTCCGGGAGCGTGGTCCCCTTCCCGGTATTTTTTCTTTTGAGCTCCGGGACGTGGGAGCCTTCAGTAACAACACCAGCACCGGCATCCTGCGAGGGCCCCTCGCCCTCAGGTTTCTTTTTGGCATCCGGCTTCTGGAGAAATTCCTCCACAGCTCTCTGATTGGAAGGCCCCTCAGCCTTCTTCTTCTTCTCTTTGGCCAGCTTATTGGAAAGTCTGGCGAATGCTTTCGGGTCCATAATGTCGCCTGCCAAAACAAGGAAAGGGTTAGAATCACAACGAATCAAAGAAAATATGCTAAGTACAAAAACGAGGGCCCTCAGGAACAACCTCCGGCATTTCGATACCCTCGGTCAATCTCGGGGTATTTTTCGTCCGTCTCCCCCAGAAGGCGGTAACGCCGGAAGCCCAGCAAGTACAGCTCCTCAGGGAGCGTCGCCTCCTTGATGGTGATTACTTTGTCGGAACCCGGAGGCTTCTCGATGAGCTTCTTCCCAGCCTTGTCGAGGACTGCATTGCCCACCTTCGGGTGCCTCTTAAAATGATTGCGCAGGGCCCCCGGGAATGGGTTCTCGGCCACCCGGATGTAGCAGAACTTCTCTTTCCACTCTTTGTGGGATGAGGGGGTCTCGGAGAAGAGTTTCCACGCCGGAACCTGCTGGAGATTCGCATAGCCCCCGGCATGCGAATGCCCTCCCCGGCACAAGTTGAAGGAGAGAAAGAACTGGTCTAAAGTGGCCTCCACCTTCCGGCTCCGGCAGAGAGATAGGAACCCCGCCAGGTAATAGTGGCTGTTCGGGGTGAGCTGGCAGGGGGCCAGTTTCACGTATCTCAGGTACTCCAGGACGAAGGGATGGAGCGGGAATCTGAGCCCAAGCTCCACCGACAACATATGCACTGAGAAACACCCCTCAGGCGGGTGGGAAAGCAAGGCATCAGGCCCCGGCTCCACCACCTGCGCCGAAGGCCCCACCAGGATCTGGAGAGCATTATAATCAGCACTCGTAGCCGTGGTCTTCACCTCGAGGGCAGTGGTGTCCAGATAGGAGTGGCCCTCGGGAATCCCAACTGGCCGTCCCGCGTCGACGGCTGCTTGCTTCTTCTTTGGGGCAGCCCTCGCCTTCTTCTTCTTTCTGCCCTCGGCTACCCGAAGGGGTTGGACATCTAACGGCCGAGAGGTGCTCGCCTCACCAAGTCCCCGTGAGGGCATGACGGCAACCGTTACCCGACGGCGCTCCTTCTCCTCCTCCTCTTCAGCCACTTGGAGGGCGATGGCCATCTCTTCATCCTCCGCCACTTGCTCAAATTCCTCTGCCTCCATTTCTACCCGGAGGCTACTCTGTACCTCCTCAGCCACGGCAAGATCGTTGTCCATCGACGGCTGCTCACTCGAGGACTCCACATCCGAATAGCTCTCCTTCTGCACCGACGGCTCCCTCGAGATATCTTGGGAATCGCTTTGTGAGGACATAATTCCGGAGGAAGGATAGGAGTTTGGTAGAGAGAGGCTACTTAAATGTTCTAACCGAGGGCTCCTAAGACCTCTAACAAAAGATCTAAGGGAGAAAAGCAAAGTATGCTAGGAAAGCGAAGAACAAGGAAGAACTGACCTCAAGGAATCGAATTCGATCGAAGGTGATTGCTTATCTCTCTAGAAAATTGGCCAGAGCTTCGCTAGAACAATGAAACGCACAAGGAAAATAGCACGGAGCGTTGGGGTATTTATAGGCTCGTTGCCTCGATACATGGGCCTCGATTTGAAAAGCCCATCATTACGGGCCGCCGGTTCGACCAATGGATGACTGCCGCTCCCTTCAGCCAGTGAGGAGACGCCACGTCAACCCTTCTTCCAACGGCTATATTACAACGACGATATTCCGGTTACACTAGGGGTGCCCCCGAGTGGTAGCCTCCGGCTATCGCTCACCACACCTTTCTGCCGGCAAATTTCATCAAACTCCTTCGAGCCTGCGACAGCATAAGCCCCCGACTTGTCAGAACTATCACCCCTCGAGTTCTCATCGACTTATTATAACTCCTTCAGCCCGAACTTGCCTTCGGCCTAAAGGAGTGGGGGACTGGGATACACCCCTCGGGAATCTTACAGAACAAAAATTTCTTCATACAAAAATTCACAAGTAACGCATACAGCACCCGGGCAAGGGTAGAACCCCTCGGGCACGTGACCCGGTGCACCCTTCGGCAATAGCGAAATAAAATATCAAAAGTTTCCCTCAGAAAACCCTCGACATGTGAGGGACTGAGGGGAGGCTCCGGCATTCATACAAGTATTATACTTCCTTCAGAAAACCCTCGACATGTGAGGGACTGAGGGAAGTCTTCGGCTAACAGCGGAAGGCAAATTCTCAAGCGGGGGCGCCCAACAAAGTGATGAAGCCTCCGGAGGAATCAACACAACTACTCCTTTTCCCTCAAGTACCTTTCGGCAAAAGGAGTGAGGGACTCCTGATGGAGCATATGGCCCAAGAACCCCCGGCCCATAGACTCCTACTTCTCCTACACAAGTTCAATGAGCCCAGGGAACAACTCAGGCCCAAAATGCAGCGACCCAAGCCTCAACGTGGCCCAGAATACGCACTGGGGTGCCTTCGGCCTCCTTGGCCGGAGGCCCCAAACCTCACAGGGTAGCTTTCTCTGGCATAAGAGGCTACTGGGAGAAAACGGCGAAAAACATGAGCCTTCGGCATTATCGAGCCCTCGGCATCAGAGAAGCCCCCGGCTAAACCGTGCCTCCGGTCACACAGGGCCTTCGGCTACCCAGGGATCCTTGGCTACATGGAGCCCTCGGCAACACAAGGAGCCCTCGGCCAAGCACACTCAATCATCGGAGATTCCTTTTAGAGACAGCCAACCACCGCATTTAATGCCACGTCACATCCGCCAACCGCATTCAATGCGGTGAACGTACCACTGCCGGTGCCAACCGATTGATGTGACCCTTCGGCCGTTGGATTACTGACACGTGTCCTCTCATCGCATTTATTGCTGCTATAAATAGCAGCCCATTTCTCCTTGTAAACCACGCTGAGTTCATTTAATAAAATCGACTCTCTCTCCTCCTATTTACTCTGACTTCTCTCTAGTTATTCCCGCAATAACCCCTCGGGTAAGATACCCCCCGGGTAGACAATCCATCAAACAGGGAATTGATTTTGATGAGATCTTTTCGCCGGTTGTGAAGATGATGTCGATCCGAGTGGTACTCGGGTTGGTTGCCAGTCTAAATCTTGAACTTGAACAGATGGATGTGAAAACAGCATTTCTCCATGGTGATCTGAAAGAGGAAATATACATGGAGCAACCCGAAGGTTTCCAAGTTCCAAAGAAAGAACATCTTGTTTGCAGGTTAAAGAAGAGCCTGTACGGCCTCAAGCAAGCCCCGAGGCAATGGTACAAGAAGTTCGACTCATTCATGGTGAAGCACCAATACAGGAGAACAGTGGCAGACCATTGCGTGTACTTGAAGAAGTTCCCAGATGGAAAATTTATCATCCTTCTGCTCTATGTGGATGATATGCTGATAGTAGGCCAAGATGTGTCCCTCATCAACAACTTGAAGCAAGATTTGTCTAAGTTTTTTGATATGAAAGACTTAGGCCCGGCGCAACAAATTTTGGGCATGAAAATTGTTCGTGATCGGAAGGCAAGGAAGTTGTTCTTATCACAAGAAGAGTATGTTGAACGCGTGATCAAAAGGTTCAACATGGATAATGCCAAACCTGTAGGCACTCCGCTAGCCAATCACTTCAAGTTGAGTAAGGAAAGTTGTTCTTCTTCTGAGAAAGAAAAGGAGATGATGAAAGCAGTACCCTACTCTTCAGCAGTAGGAAGTTTGATGTATGCAATGGTGTGTACAAGACCTGATATTGCTCACGCAGTTGGTGTTGTAAGTAGGTACTTGTCAAATCCAGGAAGAGAACATTGGGAAGCTGTCAAATGGATACTTAGGTATCTGAAGGGTACATCAAAGCTATGCTTGTGCTACGGGGGAGCGAAACCAATCTTGGAAGGTTATACAGATGCTGATATGGCTGGAGATCTTGATAGTAGAAAATCTACTTCAAGTTACATATTCACACTAGCAGGGGGAGCTGTCTCATGGCAGTCCAAGTTGCAGAGGTGTGTAGCATTGTCTACGACAGAAGCTGAATACATTGCCGCTGTTGAAGCCGGGAAGGAGCTCAAGTGGCTGAAACGTTTTCTCCAAGAGTTGGGCTTTCCTCAAGAGGAGTACATCATTCATTGTGATAGTCAGAGTGCTATGGATCTTAGCAAGAACTCGATGTATCATTCACGCACAAAACATATCGATGTTCGATATCACTGGCTTAGAGAAGCAATTGAGGAAGATGAACTAAAGCTCTCCAAGATACACACAAACAAAAATGCGGCAGACATGCTAACTAAAGTGGTACCACACGAGAAGCACAAGCTATGTACAAGCATCATTGGAATGAGAGAATTACAGAAGAAGCTGGAGGGGGAGATTTGTAGAATTCCAGCTCCCAGCAAGCCCATTACATCCTCCATACCATGGGATGGTCTTCCATCTCCTGCCCACTGAAGAGAAGCATGGAGAGGCATGGAGAGGAGGCATGGGTTGTAGCATGGGTTGTAGCATGGGCATCAATGAATATGTCTCCAGCCTTGCCTATAAATAGAATGCTCTTCCCTTGTTCAAAGACATAAAAAAAAATTCGGAGTGAAAGAGTGAGAGCAATATACATAGAGTGTGAGTGTATAAGAGGGTTGGTTTTTTGTAATAGTTGAGTGAGAGAGTTGCTCCTCCTATTGTAATTCTGTTCTGGTTATGAATAGAAGAATTTTCCAATCCTAACAGTAAGCCCCATGTTGAGAAGAAAGACATACTTGGTTATTTGTATTTTAAAACATTACAATTGTTTTGCTCTTATTTTACGCAATTCTTTAGTTAGTTGAATGTATAGTATATATGCTGTTTCGAACTAGATCCAAGACGTGGTAACATTCTAGTACATAAACTTTTAAAGCACAACAAGAAACTATTTACGTATAACGTATTGAATTGGCAAACTTTTATAGCCACATCCCATATATTTACTACTTTTTGGTTCAATTTTTTAGGGTAATTCTTTTGCACGTTTCTTATTTGGCTTATTCGGTATTACGTACTCCCTCCGTCCCAATTTGTTTTGCAAAGTCAATATTTTTCGGTCAACCAATAATAAAAGTCAATCCTCCGTATGGATAATTCATTCAATTTTTAATAATTAAAATTTACATATTCATAAACTACATTAAAATTTCTTCAAAGAGTCAACTCCAAATTCAAATATAATTAAAAATTGACTTCCTAATTAAGTGAACAAAAACAAACTGTTTGACCAAGAAAAGTTAAATTTGCAAATCAATTTGGGACGGAGGTAGTAGTACTTTTTACCTAATATATCACTGCAAAAAATTTACGGGATTGTCACGGTTTCGGTACGGATTGATTGATGATTTCGTGTCAAATATATAGCTCGTGTCATAGTGTTTTTGAAATGAATTTGACGAATCTCTGTCAAAAGTATCCGTCAATTCCATATTTTTTTGCAGTGTATGATCAATTTTTAGCCCAACGAACTCAAATTTATGAATACAGATAGATGTTTAAAAAGTTTGAGTGAAAAAGAGAGCTAACGAGTTGCTGAAGTGTTCAGAAGGGGCATGCCAATGCAATTGTGACAAAGTGTAAATGGTACCGTGAAGGACCAACGATCCTCCTCCACCTCCTCCATTATAACGTAACTGCATATATGCACAAATCCAACTTAGTTAATTATTAGATCTCCTTCATTATAACCCTTAATTGATTTCTTTGAAAAAAAACTTATAGTAGTTAATTATTAGATCTCTGTTACGGACCCAACACTACAAAAAAACAACAATTTTGGCACGGATTTGGCACGGAGATTTGGCACGCATTTGCCAAAATTCATAGGGTATTTGGCACGGATTTGGCACGGATGTGTTAAATCCGTGCCAAATTCCGTGCCACAGTCGTTTTGTCACCAGCTATTTGGCACGGCGCTGTGCCAAAAATAAGTTACAGTCCGTGCCAAACTTGCCCAATCCGTGCCAAATCCGTGCCTATTTCGATGTTTTTTTGCCGTGCAAATCCCCAATCTCCTTCATTATAACCCTTAATTGATTTCTTTGAAAAAACTTATATTAATTAATTATTAGATCTTCTTTATTATAACCCTTAATTGATGTCTTTGAAAAAAAAATTATATTACCTCCGTCTCAAATTGATTTGCAAAATTGATTTTTTTTCGTCAAACAGTTTTATTTTATTAACTTAATTAGGATGTCAATATATAATTATATTCAAATTCGAAGTTTGCAACTTTAAAGATATTTTTTCATAATTACTGAGTATGTAAGTTTTAATTATTATAAATAAATTGAATTAATTATCAATAGGGATGATTTAACTTTAACATTAGTTGACCAAGAAATGTTGAGTTTGCAAATCAATTTCATACATGTACAACACTCTCATTTTCTACTATTTGTATATAAAGACGACTTGAAATTGAGAAAGCAAATTAAACATATTTACAAACCTCGACATGGTAGCCCGTGTTAACCAATGTGGCATTGACTGAATCGGTAAAATGGATATCCAAAGCCTTCAAATTAGGATTCAAATGGATGGGTATAGAAGAAAGATTAACCGGGGACTGAGATCTACCGGTGGCGCATAGCGCGTAATTCGGGCTTAACCTTGCCCAATGGTCAGGGCCGGTTGAGCCCGAGTAACTGAACGCTACATCTTCAGAAAATACGGGTTTGATGAGGAAGTTAAAGGCAGCAACCACAAATAGCAAATTCATCTATATATACTCAACAACCTTGCATGTCGTGCTATTCCAATTTCTACACCATTTTTATGAATGTGCTCTTCATATATGTACTCCCTATATATAAGTAGAAACGGAATCATTATATATAGCCCTTATATATGTACTCTTAATATAACAATAGTAAAGTAGCAAGAAATCATTGCCCGATCCTTTTAATTAATAAAAGACACGCCCATTTTCCTACTTTTCGCCTTTTCGGCATAACACTAATGATAGGAAAGAAAAGAACTACAAAAAGAAGAGGAGGGATTGAGTAGACCTCCACAAAAGTGGGTTCATATTAGACCTCCACAAAGAAGAGGCGTTTACTTCACTGCTAAAGTCACATTAGTAAAACGGGTGAAGTAAACACGCACACTGCTTAAAAAGCCGTTTACTAACCGAAAGAGGTGCTTAAAGTGCCGCTTATTAAGCATACCACGCCCCCATGTATTAATTAAGCGGCACTTTAAGCTTTTTCAGTTTCCGAATTTACCCCTTGCCCGTAACCTATTGTTATCCCTGCCCCACCTCGACCCCAACCCCACCTACCCCGACCCCACCCTACCCCGACCCCACCCTACCCCGACCCCACCTACCTCGACCCCACCCTACCCTACCCCACCCCGACCCCACCCTACCTACCCCATCCCAACCCTACCTAACCGACCCCCCACCCTACCCTTACCCCACCTACCCTGACCCCACCCTACCTCGACCCCACCCTACCGTTACCCCACCCCGACCCCACCCTACCTACCCCACCCCCTACCTAACCGACCCCACCCTACCCTTACCCCACCTAGCCCGACCCCACCCCACCCCTACCCTACCCCCACCCCCACCCCACCCTACCTACCCCACCCCTACCCTACCTAACTGACCCCCCACCCTACCTCGACCCCACCCTACCCCACCTACCCCACCCCACCCCGACCCCACCCTACCTACCCCACCCCTACCCTACCTAACCGACCCCCACCCTACCCTTACCCCACCTACCCCGACCCCACCCCACCCCGACCCCACCCTACCTACCCCACCCCTACCCTACCTAACCGTCCCCCACCCTACCCTGACCCCACCTTACCCCTACCCCTACGGGCCTATGGGGGTAGAGGCCTATGGGGTCGGGGGTAGGGTAGGGTGGGGACAGGTTAGGGTGGGGTCAGGTAGGTAGGGTAGGGGTAGGGGTAGGCGGTGGGGTGGGGTCGGGGTAAGGTAGGGTGGGTAAGGGGTTAGGGGTATGGGTACACATATTATATTATATACTTGTGTTCATGAATGTTTGTGTGTATATATATGTATAGGGTTATTTTGGACATTTTAATGTTAAGCGGTGTTTTAAACCGTTTGAAGTAAACACGGTCTTACAACATTGTTAATTTTATGCGCCGCTTATTAACACGGGTCTTAATAAGCACCGTTTAATAACCGGTGAAGTAAACATGTCCTAATGATAGGAAAGAAAAGAACTACAAAAAGAAGAGGAGGGATTGAGTAGACCTCCACAAAAGTGGGTTCATATTAGACCTCTACAAAACCGGGCCGGCCCGCCCGGGCCACCCAGCCTGCCCGCACAAATAGGCGGGCTTGGGCATATATATTTACCCACTGGGTCCGGCCCGCAATAACATATGGGTGGGCTTGGGTTAGGGTGTAGGCCCGTTCGGGCCGATAAGCCCGGCCCGCTACATTTAGTATATATACATTTTTTAATATATATACTAATTTATTTATTTATTTACATGTACACATGTATATTTATATTTATTAATTTATCTTTATACATATTTATAGTTAATTATATTTAAATTTAACATAGTCAACATATGCTCAACACCACTGGACCAACTCATTTTCTTAAGTTTTTAGTTCTTAACAACTAGCCCAGCTAAGATAATATTTACTTTTGTACTTAAACATGATACTTTGTGCTTGAATTTTTAACTTTTAGCTATAGTTTCTCAGTATATTTTTTGTGCAAGTATCTTTATACATATTTATAGTTAATTTATGTTTAAATTTAAGTTTTTGTTTTTAACAACTAGTCCAACCAATATAATATACGTAGTATGTAGTATATTTTAGTACTTAAAGATAATACTTTGTGCTTCAATTTTAAATTTAAGATATAGTTTCTCATTATATTTTTTGTGTACGTGGTGACAGGCTTAAAAACATTATAAGCGTATCTGCAATTTTTTAAATGTTGTAATACTATTTATAAAGTATTAAAAAAATTATATAATTTTTAAAAAATTAAAGTTTTCGCGGGCTGGGCGGCCCGGTGGACTACCCGGCCCGCTCTAACGGGCGGGTATGGACATGAGGTTAGGCCCGTTTTTGCGAGCCAGGCCCGCCCACACATGATGGGCAGAAAATTTATAGAAAGCCTGGCTCGAGCCCGGCCCGAACCCGTTTTTGTACAGGTCTAGTTCACATTGAGTTACATTTTTTTTAATACACGTATTTTCTACTCATTCATGAGGGCGGGCCCAGTCCGGCCCGTAACAAACGGGTCTAATCAAATATCCATTTATACCCGTAAGAGCGGCCTGGTAGTCTACCGGGCCAACCAGCCCCCCAAAGCTCTAAAATATTTCAAAATTATAAAAACAATTTAGAACACTTAAAACGATATTGCAACACTTTAAAAATAGTTAATATGTTTATAATGTTCATAGGCCCACCATATACACACAAAAAAGTTTACATAAATATAATGATGAAAAAGTATAACAAAAACTTATAATATTCACACACAAATTATTATCTTTAACTATAAGAATAGATATTGTATATTGATTGGGTTAATTGTTAAGAACTTGTTGAGGTTTATTCCTTCAACCCCGGGTCCAACACGTAAGCCCAAGGATTTCGAATGGAGTGTGTGATTAAACTAGCCCAACAAGCAGATGATATAGATTAGGAAGGCAGTGAGGTAGCAAGTAAATGATTAGGTATTATTATCTCTTAATAACTCCCTAATACAATACTTTTCGCTAAGGCTCCGTCGGCCGTTCGTCTCACAAGGCAGTAGAAGTGCTGCGAGTAAGAATGCTATAGCTAGAGTGTTAATAATAGAAAGTTGCCAACCCTTTACAATGAAATAAATGCTTCTATTTATACCCGCCAATGGGCAGGTGGCTATGCTGACGTGGAGGCCTGTGGACCGCTTGTGTCCCAACCACCAAATCTTCTGCATTAAATGCACTTCCCGCCAGAATCTAGGTTTCCCGCCTAAATAATGGGGACGTCCGTCCGCCCGGGAGTGAGCTGGGTCACTCCAAGTGACCTTCAAGAAACTTCAGCTGTTCGTCTCCTGACCTTGTGGATTCTCTCCATGTGGACTGGATCTCCTCCGACGATCATGGGCCTGCCCAGGAGACGTCCGTCGTTATCCTTGATGGCCAGTGGTCCTGCCCCTTACCTCTGCACAGACGTTCGTCGCGATGGGCCGTTTGAATCTGGACCCCCCAATTCCAGACGTTCGTCTCTTCCCAAGGGTCATGGGCCTGCGCCCAGCCTGGTCCTAGCATGACGTGCGTCCGATAGAAAGAAGGGGTTAATGGGCCGGACCTCGGCCTGGGCCATTATCCCAACAGAACTAAAAACTTAATTTTAACAAAATGGATCATAAATATGTATAGGGATAAGGGGCTGGACTTATCAGCCTGAACGGGGCTACACTATATATAACTCGATCCTTCCAAATACTATTGCGGGCTAGTGTGTCCAAGTGCGCTTATTTGTGAAGGAGGGCTAGGTGGGTCATTTGGGCTGGCCTTTTATGTACACGCCTAGGATTGAGAGAGATAGATAAATATAGGTTAATTCTAAATACAGTCCCTTTTTTACTAAACACAGCCCAAATTAATTAATTTTACATATTTACCCTTAAGACTTCTTAAAAGCCATCACATATGTGAAAACTTCATACCCCAGACCAGGGGCGGAGCTAGAGCACTAGGCCGGACTGGGCCGATACAAAGAATATTTTTTGAAAATTTTTTACACAGATTTTTTACACTAAAAATACAAGCATTTTTAAAATTTGGACTGGGCCAGGGTCAGGGATGGCCCTCCCCTAGCTCCGCCCATACCCCACACGGCCACACGTCGTCATCTCCGTTTCTGAAATCGTTAAGACTGCCGATCAGGTTCTCACACCTTTCAACTAGAAATCTCCTGATAAAGACACAATTTTAATTATAATTCTTGAAAAATCGGATCATTTTAACAGAAAAAAATTAGGAGCCACAAAGTTCAGACACATACCAAGATGCAAAAAATGAATACAAAAAATAATTACTCCCTCCGTCCCATTTATATTGTCCCACTTAAATTGTCTCATACCATATTTGGTAAAGTTTGTGTGGCTCAAAATCATTCTTACTTTATTCTTACTTTATCCATTAATATCAACTACACAAACCAACTTTTCTTAAAACTCGTGCCACCCTTTTCCGTCCCAATATAAAAGGGACGGAGGTAGTACATATAAACTCAAAATCATAAAAAATATAAGTAAAGAATACAGAGGGGGTGTTTGGAACTGATTCTGCTTCTGCTTCTTTTTTAAAAGAAAAAGCAGAATCAGTTTTCAGAAGCTGGTACCCCCAGCTTCTAAAAAAACTGATTCTGAGAGTAAATTAGAGCTCCAGAAGTGCGTCTGGAATCTCACCCAAACACTCCAGCTTCTGCTTCTGCTCCCTGAAGGAGCAGAATCAGTTTTGAGAATCAGATCCAAACACTCCCAGAATCCATTAAATAGAGACTGATTTGATTCAAGAACAAATAGACAGGCCCTCTGAAAAACATGTATTCCAAACTATCAATTAGTCATCTTCAGTGAAGCTGTCTTCCCTGTGGAGCGCCGTCAAAGGAACCTGAACTTGGAACCCCTCCTGGCGGCATCTTCGTCGGGGTTAGATTTTAAGAGAGTCCAGGAAGCTGCGGAGGAGGAAGAGGATGCGATGGAGGAAGAAGTCGATTTTGGGTGTCCGACAGCGGGGATGGAGGATGTGGATGTA